TCATCTTAATAGTAAAGATCCTTCCTTGTAAAGAAGCAGGTAGGATACTCCATCGTTGCCATATCACCATTGATCTTCTGGAGCAGTTTTGCATAGTCATCATTAACTGTCTTAGATATAGTTGTGTATATATCCACAGGAAGGTAACTTATAGAATTATTAGAAGGCAAAGGGTGAGGACTGATGACTACCTGTTATCACAGACGCTAAGGGGGTATTATAAAGGGTCTGATTTATGGAAGTAAGTTTGGGACCAAATCCAAACCTCCCACAAGAATGTCCACTCTAACCCATCAAACACGGCCATCTGGAAGAGTTTGTGCTATATCCATAATGTGCAAAAGTCTCCGCATATTGTCGGCAGCAAGCCTTCCTCTCATAAAGCCAGTTTGGTCATGAAGGATTAATTTATCAATTACTGCATCTACCCGATTAGCTACTGTAGCACTTTGGCATACATTTTAACATCACCACAGATCAATGACAGAGGCCTATAACTCGAACAATTGAGTGGGTCTGCCCCCCTTTTCAATAGAAGGGTGATGATAGTAGTCTACTGATCTCTATGAGATGTGTTATTTTTTATTGCATAATTGATTGAATCTAGAGCAAGTGGTCCTACTGTATCCCATAGAGCAACATAACAGTTCTGGAGGGATCCCATCACAGCCGGGAGATTTATCTTCATGAATCTCAATTCCTCTAGAGTAATGGGACTCTCAAGAAAATCAGAGTCAGATGGATGGAGCTTAGGTAGCGATAAACTATTAAGGATATTTGTGCATTTCTGTTGATTAAAAATGATATCTGAAGAAAAAAGATCTTTGTAAAAGGAGCAAAATACCTCACTCACCCCTACCAGATTTGTTATTAATTGACCCTGTTTGTCTCTGCTAGCATTTATTGATGCTCTTGCCTCATTTTGTTTAATCCTCCAGTCAAGATGCCGGCTAGGACTATTTCCATGGAAATAATATTTCTGTCTAGTTCTGTGTAGAATAAATTCAGATTTCTGGAGGGATAAGGCACTCCATGAAATCCAAATTAGTTAATAGGCTGGTGTTAAAACAACATCTTTTCATTTGTGTAGGATGGCCAGGAGGAATAAAGTTACAAATAATAGGAGTGGTCAGAAAGAAGAATAGGCAGCATTTTAACACAATATTATTAATCACAGAAGTGGAAACAAAGATGTAATCAATCCTGGAATAAGTCTGATGGCGTGTTGAATAGAAGGAGAACTCTTATTATTATATATGTTATTCTTATTATTACCTATTCGGCATATGTCTACTAGATTTAAGTCTTTGAATGCATTTGAAGAGGCTAGGCCAAAGGCATTCCCAGGCGAACGGTCTAATGTAGGATTTGTAGCAGAATTAAAGTCACCACCCAGTATAAGTTGAGTCTCAGGGAATTGTAGCAAACTACTCTGAATTGACGTCAGAAACATAGGGTCGAAGTCATTAGATGCGTAAATGGAAGATAGAGCCGTGTGTTATTGAAAGTGCCAGCCGGCAAAACAAATCTACCACCATTATCTTCTGTGTGGTCTAAATGTATTTGCAAACGTCTACCTGCAAGAATCAAAACGCCCTTTGACTTAGTATTTGCACATGAGTGCGCTATAACCTTAAAACGCCTATTTTGGAATCGTGTCTGACGTGTGTCTTTTGGAGAAAAGCGATTGATACTCCGTGACGCCGCAGAAATTCTAAAACCCTAGTGCGTTTAATTGGCGAATTGAGGCCTTTGACATGCCACCTTTGACTATGTTAATGTCACCCATGTGATGAATAAAAAGAAATCAGAGAAATCTGTGACACTACATATACTACGTCCCACGTTTTAACAGTTAAACTGGAACAGTCAGCGTTCCCATTGTAAAAGACTTCTGAAAACAAGAACATGAAAAAGAAGATGACGGCAAAAGTGATAAGTACAGAGGGGTAACAAGCCGCCAGGGAACAGCAGTAAACTTAAACCAGTAACTTAAACCAGTAAACTTAAACCCCAAGGCTTAAAAAAAGTAAATTTACTATGAGCTGTGACTCATTAAACCGCAACACACAAACAATCCCAAACCCAAATGCCATATAATCAAATCCAATAGTCATGACTAGTTTGTCAGTACCAATGTAACAATACCCTATGCAATGTCCTCCTAATTAAAAGTATGTGATACAACCTGCTACCCCTATCTGCATCTCATTCCAGAGAGACAGCTGTGTCGATGGTACCGTTACATAAAATGTTGTTAATCTTGAGGCTGGTATGTATGCATCTCCGGACCAGAGTTCTCCATGCCGCTGCACTGGTCATCGGGGTTCAGAGCCGCTACATTAGCCAGGACAGCTGGAAGTGACGCTGTTGAAGAGGCCGTAGAGGGAGACACTATGGATGCCTGGACAGTGCAGAGAATCTGCACCCTTTCCTCCGGTGACTTAAAGTTATAGGTGTCGTGTTGAGTTCAGTTTGAGCTGTGCTGGGTATATAAGAAATGGTTTCAAACTGACTGAGGTCATTTTCTTTTTCACGTAGTTGAACCCCATTCATTTTATGACTGTTGCGGCGCTGTAGTCAGAAAAAAAGGATAGAGTTCGCCGGTCGCGGATAATGGGAAAGACCTCCCTTCAAGATGGGTTGACAGTCAGCATGGTCCTGCAACTTAAAAATGAGTGTGCGAGGACGGTTCTTATTTTTTTCATCTGTGCTGTGCAATCTGTGTGCTCTCTCACCTCTTATCTCGCATGTGGCCGGAGAAGGAATCCACTGTGGTAGGTGTGTTTTCAAAAACCCGATGGCATCTGAGCCTTCAGCTGATTCGGCTAAGCCTAAGTCTCAAGTTGGATCTTCAGCTCCTGTCCTCCATTTCGGTGAGTTTATCAGTGAGGGATGCCATTAGCCCATTTTGGTCTCTGTCTCGATTGTTAGTGCGCAATGTTGCTTGGAGAGAGTCGACTCGAGACTGACTTTTTTGTTGTATATATATATATAGGTAGAGATCGAAAACTAAGTCTGAATTGCTGGCTAAGGTCTAGTGACGCTATGCATAAGTTATGAGAAATCTGTAAATTGTACTTTTATTGTATTTATTTTCATATTCATTATTTCAGCTTTTCACACAAATGGTTAAATACTTCAAATTTAAAGAGACGTTTGTTAGCTTACTTAGTACAGTTTGGCTGTACTTTTATAAAGCCGAAACCCAGGATAGAGGGGCTCAGTGAACGTGGCCTGGACCCTGTGCAGGAGGGTCACTGTGTCAGAGACGCTGTAGAAGGACAGAGTTCCTGCCCTGTGATCCAGGTACACTCCTATCCTGGGGGAGGGGGGGCCAGATACCGCACTCTTCTTATTATTGTGCAGGAATGAGAAACTGGAGGTTGAGCAGCACAAACGCCAGGACTTGCTATTGAATCCAATCTTGCTGGAATTATTCCCTCCTTTCCTGCTGATCCCTTTATATGTGACGGCTATACCAACCTCATCCCCGCTCCACTCAACTTCCCAGTAGCAGCGCCCAGTCAGACCCTCCGTACACAGCACATAACAGAGTGAGTCAAACCTCTCCTGGTGATCAGGATATGACTGTGTCTCTTCCTTCCATGTCACCACTCTGTTCCCCTCAGACAGATGGAGGTGTCTGTTTGCTGTGTTGGGGTCCAGAGTGAGTTGACAGGAATCTGATGGAGGAGAAGGTCAGAAGGTGATGCTTTGGTCTTATTCACTCCTTATATTAAAGAAGGGTGTGTACTTTTTTGGTTTAATGCTTGGAAAGGTATTTTGAAAAGTATGTATAAATAAATATATGTTTACCCTTTCATGCTTATATGGTCATATTAACAACACGGACATCTCAGACAACAAAATGACAAGCAAAATAATATTAAACATCAGCAATTACATTGCAAACAGATTCAAAAGCTCCTGACATAAACAGCTCATGTAAATGTGAAAGACCAGGAGGCAGCGGGAGAGAGAAAGAGAAGCTCCACTAGCAGAAGAAAACGAAACACAATAAAACACCTCATACAGGGAGAGAGAAGCGTGTGTGTGAACAGACTCACATTGTAAGAATTCTGCTCTGGTCCTGGGCACTAATACTGGTAGGAAGGCGTCTTTGGCAACTAGAAGGAGACAGAGAGAAATGGGGATGTAAGTAAAAGGAATTTACTTGTGGGAGATGGACGTCACTCACTGTGGAGACACCAGCACTAGGGTATTATCATTATGGGGGCATTTTAAAATGTGATAATCATGCTCAATGAAACACAATAGAAATTTCGAATAGATTTTTAATTGTATCATTTTGCAGAAACATGATTCCTGCTATTTTAAAGGTTTTCTGAAAGATTTTATCTTATCGGAAACAGAAACTGACTTGGTCACACAAACTTGAGGCTGAGTGTACTGTACACTCTCTCTGTCTGGTCTGTACAGAGCAAGAATAGACTGGAACATGTATTTATGAACCTGTTTGATGGATCTCTGCTGTTTTCTTTTCACAAACATTCTCCAGTTCATCCTTCAGTTCAGAAAACACCTTCTTCACATTTTCAAAATAATAGTGTGGACTGGCAGAGATTCTGGGTCCAAATCCGGGATCAGGAGTGACAGGCAGACCCTGGCACATCTACAGACACAACGTCAAATTAACCAGCTTCATCAAACCAAATGTGTCTTGGTATCTAGCTAAAAGGAACATTAAATTTCTGACAAATGACAAACAAGTTGAAATACTGTACAAATGAGATCATGCATCCATTTGAATACTCTGGTTTTCTTGTTGCCAAAGTAGCTGTTCTGTTACCTGGAGGACATGGATGTGATCCTCTGTGTGCGAAAGCTGCTCCAGCTCAGAGTGTCTCCTCTTCAGTTCATCAATATCCTGCTTCAGTCTCTCCATATCTCCTTCAGCCTGACTCACTGCAGCCTTCTCTTGATCTCTGATCAGCTTTGTCACCTCAGAGCGTCTTCTCTCAATGGAGCGGATCATCTCAGTGAAGATCCTCTCGCTGTCCTCCACTGCTGACTGTGCTGAACTCTGTTGGTGACACAGGAAGCAGAGGACGGTAAATTACAATTGGCCCCTTTTGAGACTCCAGAGAGCCCTTAATTATAAAATAGTGAT